TAAGTAACATCAGATAACTTTCGCTTTATTTTGTAAGGTCCAAAATACTTCTTTAATAGTTTTTCGGACAACCCAACTTTTCGAATTGGTCTAAAAATCCAAACAAGTTCACCTGGTTCATAAGACATTGGTCGGTGTTTTGCATCGTATCGTTTCTTGTCTTTTTCTTGCGCATCAATGGTACGAAGGCGAGCAAGTTGTCTAGCTTCTTCTGCTTTGCAGACAAGATGCGCAGCATAATCAGTTTCAAATCCTGGTTGGNGATGGACGGCTAAATGAATAACGGTTGGATCCCGTTCATTAATTGGGAAACCAAAGATACGCCAAACAGCTTCATTGGAGCTGATGTACCGGCCTATTTGGTACAGCGTTATTTCGTCGTTGTTATTCACTGGAAGAGCAGTTACATTGGTATTTTCAACTCGAAATACTGCTATATCACTGCCCTTATTCACATACTTACAAATATATTTGATACTCTTCTTTTAAGGGCGAGCATGAGTATTAGAGTTTAATATGACTTGTTGCAACGTGCGTGAATATTGTTTTTGATTTGTTTCTATGTTTAGTTTGGATTCGAATATGATTAAATAAAGATATATTTAAAATATACGTTAAATCTGTCCGAAAAATGAAAAAAAAATTATTTATAAACCTATTCTCAGACCTACTTAATATACTACATATAAAATTTCATCAAAATCCATCAAGCCGTTTCGGAGAAGTTTAAACACTAGAACTGTGACAAGAGATTTTTATATATATAGATATGTATATTTTAACTCGGAAAGTATTTTCTAACGGTGATTTGGACGTTTACCTGCATTCTGGTATACATCTGGAATTACAAAGATGTTTAGTTTCTCCATAATAATATTTTTTTTAATAAAAAAAAAGGTTGTGTTCGTCCCCACAATCGATGGGACTAGAGCGGGTGAACTTGATAACCTATTATGTATTCACTTAATACAACTCAGAAAAGTATATCTAAAACCAAAATGCAATTCATTTTAATCTAAAACTTATTGCAGAATAAATATTGACATATTTTAATTTAAGTACTCATTTATAATAGAGCATTTCACTATACCGAGGAAAACAATTTGTACGCAAATCAAAACATTTGAAGGCTATATTATTCAATTTGATTTATTTAAAAGTGGAGAACGAATTTTAAGTTGAATCAATTTTAATAAAAAATTAGTTTTGCATGGATGATGAACGGATTGCATGGCTCAATGGATCGATGTAAAGACCGTTTGATGTATAATTTATAATATATTATGACTTTCTGTTGAAATTCTGAACCTATAATATGACACTAAAAGAGTAAAGAGAAAACTTTAAAGTCGTTTTTGCACCTTAAAGACGTTCTTATACAAGTTGCTAGAAAGTATTCTCAGTGTGATAATGCACCTGGACAAAAAAAGTGTACATCTGGGGGGAATTAATATATAGAATATGGCAACCTTCATCTATCAAAGGGTACCTCATTGTAGAATCAAGTTAACATGTCTTATATACTAGTGAATTGGTGTTCAATATTTATAGTGGTAGTTACGCCACATTCCCCTTCCAGAATTTTATCTATGATAGAATTCGATGATCAGATACCACTAGTTGATTCATGCTGTTTATTTATTTATACTAATTTTGCTCATTATATTTTCCTCACTTTTTTTGATAATAGCATTTCGCTCATTATTTTTTCCCCTTCACTTTTTGTTTAATGACCGAAGGACTTTTTTTACTTCACCGGATTTTTTTTTCTTTGAGCAGTTTATATTAAGCAAATCAACTGTTTAATGCGGACCATCCATCTTGTTAACGAGTTCATATCACGTCCGGGTCACCAATGNAAAGACAGGAGGCGTTGGAGGGATATGCTGGAGGCCTTAAGTGCCCAAGGCACGTAGAGGATAAGTAAGTAAGTATATACTAGTGAATTGGTATTCAATAGTTATAGTGGTAGTTACGCCACACATCGATGATGTCGATCCACGATATCTCACAGAAGAAATTTGACCCATAAATTAAAAAAGTTATTTAAGAAGTTCAGTTAAGCCCCATTCTCCCCTCTTCCCTGTGGTACGTGTTACTTTATGCCTAAAAGAAAACATTTGCATGTAAAAAATGTAATTTTTTTGTGGTGTAAAAAGATATACAAGACAGAATTAAAGGAATACATATGCAAAAAAAAGGAATCTTCATGTTCGCCTTATTGAGTAACCTATTTCATTTATTTATTAACTTCGATTTATTATCTCTTAAAGATACTTTAAATTAAACTGAAGAATTTTCTAATTTATAATAACTAAGAAAAAAAAATTAAATCCCGGAAAATTTTTTTCCCCGTATCCGTTTAAATATCAATGACGGACTTCAAAGAATAATTGCTTACATCGGCAGGATTCTGTTACACAGAGACAGAATTATTGATTACGATCTCTCCAGGAAGTGAAATAAACCCTTTTTCACACACGACTAGAAGAGGCATAAAGATTTGACTACAAATTTGTAATTAAATCTGACAATCCAGGGTAATATGATTTCTCAATGGAAATAAGATCTCTTTTATCCATTAGCTTGCAGTCATAAAAGAGGGTTTTTTTAAATGAGAAAACGTTGAAAATTGAAAGAAACTTATTTGAATGAAAACGAAATTTGGATGTAATTTTATACGTTAGCATTAACTCTATATGCCCGATAAATGCAAGCTATAGGGTGTCTAGTGGAGGCCTGATTGATTTTAAAATTAAAAATCTCGAAAGCAAAGGGAGATGAAGCGATGAAACAAACGGTTTTGTTTGTATTTTATAAATTTGGGGAAACTGTAAAAATTTTATAACAAAAATTATTTATCGAATTTAGTAATAAAAATTCCCGACAGATAACGCTGAAAGTCACTGATGACCAGGACGATTAGTTCTTTTGTTAAATCGTGAAAGAAGGTTGTCGTAAAGGATTAGAAGGTTTAAATCGTATATTTAATAGAACATGGGTTTCCGGCAGGGGAATATCACTGTTTGATTAAAGTTTTACGGCATTTGTGTTCTTTTAAGAATTTTTGTACTACGTACAACGTTATTTCTTGGATTATTTTGTAACTAAATTCCGAAATTTATGCATAAAATATTTACAGCTTTCATAATGGATGTACCGTTTATTTCTCTAACCCTCTATCATTATTTTTTAATATATATATATAATATAAGAAGAGAGTGAAATGATAACAAATAGCCAATCACAGAAGACTTACGGTTAGTAAAGCACAAAACAGCCAATTAAAATTGAGAACACATGTGTGTGAAAAGGTAATAATTTTTAATAATGCTGCTTGCCAAAATGTTACGACTAAACTTACCANATATCAGTTTTTGAAATTTTATCTTAAGATTTTATACTATAGCACATTTCTAATAGGTTTAACGAATTACACGTCATTTATTTGAATTCAAATTTATTTTAATGACGTAGTATTTACTAAAAAGATGTAATGTTTTTTTTTTTTAAGTTGTTATATGGATTTGAATAATTGTTTTGAATTCTTAGAATATTGTACATTTGTAATGCACCTAAGTTAGTCGCGAGTGAAGCGAGCTTAGTTTGCGAAGCAAACCATATAAGATTGCTTAGCAATTTTCGGGGGTTGGCGAGCACCAGCGAGCAGGGGGCGAAGTCTCCTAGTATATATATAATATAAGAAGAGAGTGAAATGATAACAAATAGCCAATCACAGAAGACTTACGGTTAGTAAAGCACAAAACAGCCAATTAAAATTGAGAACACATGTGTGTGAAAAGGTAACAATTTTTAATAATGCTGCTTGCTAAAATGTTACAACTAAACTTACCAGCTACAGCTGAGGGATGATTTTTATTTTATTTTGAGTATGTCTAATGATGGTGCCACAGTATTCCATTGTTGTCCGTGCATTTCTATTGGCTAAAAATCACGAGGTAGGATCCAGTTTTTACTCATTCATTTCAATATTGTTTTGGTTGTCATCAGCATACAATTAACAAAAGTCGTAAAGGTATTATTTTCCTTTAAATATCTTCGTATCCCTAATTTAAAGTTATTTTCCAGTACTGCTATTATTAGCGAAAATATTAAATTATGGTTATGAACTCATCAAATTTGTTTGAACAATCTAATGTTATAAGAATATAAATGTTATTTTAAAAAATGATTACTTCGAAAAATCACTTCTGTTCACCAAGAGATCTAAATGCTTATAATACTAATAGATAGTAATATTTGGACGTGGGAAGTAGAGGCACAAGAGTAAGCAAACAGAATTCCTTTCAGTACATATATGTTAAGTGAATAATTTTTATTAATTTAAGGGGATGAAAACTGTTTTCTGCTAAGAAAAGACAATTATTGCGAAGCAATCATCGGGGTTGGGGAGTGGCAGCGAACAGGGGTCTTAGCCCTCTAGTATATATAAATTCATGAAAAAAAATTATGTTTCCTTATGGAAAGTATGAAATTGTGACTCATTTAATAACTTCAAATAATGCAGACAAAAAATAATCAGCTTACTTAAGGCGTTAAAGTTGAATGTTAGTGATTGGATAATCTGCTCATTTGATCAAAAATTGTCTATGTGTTCTATTTTGTTAGTACTCTACTACCGGTGCAGAGACATGAGTTCAGTCCCGAGGGCCGACTCAACAATCGGCGTGCAGATAGGTAACGTTAAATCTGTCATGTTCTTTCGTTGGTTGAGGTGACAAAGTCTGAAAAAAGATGCACAATCTCAAGTGCTGTCTACGTCATCTGACCAAGGTTAAAATTACGTGTCATTCATACTAAGATTGTTAAAAAAAAGAACCCTTAAAAACGGCGCTAGTTGCTTTTTGAATCATAAAGTTACCATCACCTATGTAAGAAGCTACCATCACCTATTGTCCATTGACAAAATTTGTATTTTTATTCGAGAATTGAATGAAGATAAATTTGGAAAATATTGACAGTCTACCCCCGTCACTTACTTTTGTTTCAGTGTCTGGCGATTTGAAAGCGAGGCTGAACCAAGACAGGTGGTCTTTCCGCATTTTCTTGTTGGACTCGATCTCTATGGACTGTTCGATCAGCTCATCAACCTCTTCACTGACAGTAGGGGTGAGGGGCCTGTGGGTGGATGTTTTTCTAATGCTTTTCCCCCTCTCCTCCTCACTGGCCGGAGGAAGGGGTGCCGTTTCTTCATCCATAGAGTCAGCCCTCATGCAATCCAGCTGGGGGGAAAAATTTTGAAATATCGAATTAATAATTTAAAAATACATTATTTTTGAACACAATTAAAGTGCGGTTTTTCACTTTTTAATGTGTAGAATATTCTTACACTGTATGAATTTTTGGAGATCTTATTTCCGAAAACAAGTAGAACATAGGAAATTTGTTGTCAATAGCACTCATCAAGATGGAAAAGTTGGCGCACTCAATTGTATAGGACCAAATTACACCTGGAGAAACGACTCAAGCTGTGCAAGATCATATATCTAATTATATTATCGTGAGAGTTATACAATTATAATCCTGCATACTACCTTCTTTGTAAATAGCAGTGGCGTTTCAAGGTGAAGCGATTTTCACATTCTCTACACTTCTTCTTTGTCCACTACCACGGTTTCGGAAAGTCCCGTTTTTTCCCAACGGTAGTTCGTTTCAGTAAGAAGTTAAAATATGTTGGTGCGGAAAAAAGTAAGATTTACTGAAATCATGGTAACTGAAAAGAGGAAATTGTAGAGAGTGGGGATATCGATTAACCCATCACAAAGAATATAAATCGATGTAGCCCTACCATATCTTATCACCTTGCCTTTGCACTTAAGGTGGTTTCTTCGACCCATTTTCTACTAACCCCAATGATAAAGTCTGGGATACCATGCAACCGATTTGTGCTTTCTAACTATTAGTAATTATACTTGATGCAGAATGCATTTCAATATATATTGTCAAAAGTTTTTATTTCTTATGAAAAAAAAAGCTCATGATAACGTGTTGCTTCACGGAAATCCTCTTTTTCCTCATTACCCCCCATACTGTCACGGTGATGTGTGACGATTTTTTTAATTATATTAATTTTATTCCTTCATCGAACAATTTTTGTTGTTTTCCGTTTTTAAATTTATTTTTTTTTTAAATTTTACCTCATGCTCTTTAAAGATAATTGGAAATACTTCTTTTTTTCTTTCTCGTTAGCAACACATTTTGTGTCATCTTTTCACCTCTTGGTGACTCTAGGTCGAATTGACCCCGATGTCCTTCTCAAGGCCAATTTCTCCCCTCACATTTACGACTTTACGTCACTTGTTTTAACCTTTTTCCCATAACATTCAAAGAACCGTCAGTTCGCAGGTGGTGTGCTAAACCACTTCAATCCGGATTCCGAAGTTCTCAGAAATGGTGTAATCACGCCCTCCAAGTGTAACATCTTCCTTTTAATACCTTATTTGGTATGACGTGGGTATACTGATCACACTGATTGGCTTTGGCGTAACTATCCTGTGATCCCCCCATCCAATCACATATGTAGGGGATGCAAGTGTACGTAAACCTTGTGGGTCGGCGCGTGCAGGTCAAAGCTGTGATAAAAGGATGAAGAGCACCGTAGTTAAAGACATTCGCTGCAAGTGATTTGTTTTGTGAAACATGTCTTCAAGAAATCATTTAGACGACTTTACTCGAGGAAGAATGATTGGGAAGCTTCAGGTGGGGCGTAGTGTGACCAGTATAGCCGAAGATTTCGGGATCAACAAAAGTGTTGTTTCTCGTGCTTGGAATGCCTTTAAAACTACTGGTACAGCTGTTCGGAAGGTTGGTGGTGGCCGTCCAAGGAAAACAACACCAAGAGATGACCGTTACATTGTCCTCCAGGCGAAAAGAAACCGTTTTCAGTCAGCGAGCGCCATATCTCAGCAACTGTGCACAGCCACAGGACGACAAGTATCAAGATTTACAGTGGCCAGACGCCTCCACAAAGGTGGCTTATTTGCTAGACGTCCTGAACGCTGCATACCTTTAAAAGTTAGCCATCGGCGGCACCGTTTAGAGTGGTGCAGAGAACACGAAACCTGGACACCTCATCAATGGAGTCGCGTCCTCTTCACAGATGAGAGTCGTTTTAGTGCTACAAGCGATTCTCAACGTCAGTTGATCTGGAGAGAGGCTGGAGCTCGATTTCATCCCAATAACATCGCGGAAGGAGATCGTTACGGTGGTCCTGGAGTTGTCGTCTGGGGTGGCATTATGTTGAACGGGCGAAATGAGCATCAGATCTTCGACCGAGGTTCTGTAACTGGAAACCACTACTGCAATGAGGCAATCCTACCCCATGTGGTTCTGTTCCGAGGGGCATTGGACCAGACTTCCTTTTTATGGATGACAATGCCCGTTCATACCGTACTGCTAATGTTCAAGAGCTACTGGAAAGTGAAGATATCACACGAATGGATTGGCCAGCTTACTCTCCAGATCTAAATCCCACAGAGCATGTGTGGGATGCATTAGGGAGACGTCTTGCGACACGACAGTATCCTCCTGGTAACACCCATCAGCTGAAAGATACGTTAAAGGAGGAATGGAGACGTTTACCCCAAGAACTCCTGGATAATCTGGTGCTTAGCATGGAGAGACGATGCCAAGCAACAATTACAGTAAGGGGAGGGCATATCCTATATTAGGGAACATCTGCCAGTTGTACCTTCTTCAGGCAATCATGTGTAACGCCACTATATGTCAAATAATGTCTTTTTTTGTTCCATACCCTACTTTAAGCTTTATATTCATTTCCGCGCCATTATCCTTTTACCATCGTTTAAGTACAAAATAATGTACATCATATTCAAATTTCATGTCAATCGGATGATTTCTTATAGAGTTATGACAAAAAACGCACTTGTTGCTTAAGTTTTGCACACCAGTGTATGTATTTGTCCAGATGTATACAAATAAATTTTTTGTTTGGATCAATGAAATTGAAAGAATAGTATGCTCTTTGAATTTGTTGAAATTGTACCACATTGCTCTTTAATTAATTATTCATTGGTATTTGAGCAGAAGAGGATCACTCTTTTAGTATTGATGTTGTTTTTCACTGATACACCTTATACGTATTTCTTATCATTGGCAAACATACTTTATCATTTGATACATCATCCAATTTTATCATCGGTACACTACCGTAATATTTTCAATCCTCCTTTTAGCTGAATATCAGGAATTATTAAAATTCAAATCGGTCTTAAAGCTGCTTTCCACTAGAAGATATTCTGAGTTTGCTATGGGTGTCGAATGATTTAAAGGAATTGATTTATATTGATAAATGATACGTTTGAACTTATTGCGAGAAATTAAAACGGTTTTGAAAGAACGTAATTTGTGTAAAATAACTGCTCTCTTGTTCATAAATGAAGGATAATGCGAACTTCCTGGAGAAATTATAAGAAATATCTCCTTTACAAAAACTTACTATTACATGATTAATACATTGTATGTCGATTAAATACAGTTCGGCCGAGCCTGTCTCATGCATTGTGACGATGTCCACACTCCAATATTCTCCAGGAAAATCGCTGCCGACAGTGAGTAACCATGAGTGGAGCACATTTGACAGTGCCAGGACAGCCTGGCTGGTAGGGAGCTGGGTCCATGTCCAAGAGGTCGTGGGTTCGATCCCCGTGCAGTAAATGGTGACTGGTGCACGTTAAATGCGTCGGGTCGCAAAGTACTTCATGCTCCCATTGCAAATTATATCTCTGTAGGGTACTGAATTGGATATGGATTGTTCTCTAGTTCAGGGCAAAATAACGATTTGTGGAGGAATGAATGGATCTTCCCTATAAACGTGGGACATGTGTGTGTGGCTGAATTTGTATTCTTAGCCATAGATGGCGCCTCTGATGAACAAGAAGACCTTCTATCTTAGATTCGCTTGATTTCACCAAGAAAACTTGCTGATATTGGCAAGTGTGGCTTTAGAAATAAAAAATACGCAAATTTGACAGGCCTACGATCATACAGACTAAGATTTCCCAAACTTTTGACAGGTCGGATGCTGTACTCTATCTACTTTATTTGACAGTCACTGCTGTCCAATACCTGTCTTCATTCAGTGCTGTAACTCGGAAGCCGTAACGTCTACTCACATTTCCATCATCACATGGAATCATTGCCAACGCCTGGAGGGGACACTTAGGACGATTCCAAGTTCCTCGAGTGTTGTCATCTCAGTACGTCCAGATTCTTGGTGGCCGATAATTCTACCACGTAAAATTTTTTTCACATGCATCCTCTGCGCCATAGCAATTTGCTTATGTCACAAAGCAGCTTAGATAGCGCTTGGGTTCAATTTTCACTACTTAACCAGCATTCCTTACATACCTCTCTCTTACACTTTCGTCATTGTGTAGTGACGTACCGGGTACGAAATAAGAAACGAACCATCTTGAATGACTTTCGATAAAACGATCGGATATTCACGTTCTGGGGCTCAATTTTAAAGGTTCGAAAGGCTGACCTCAAATAATCGAATTATTAAGTGCAGACGATATTTTAAGTTAGAGAATCAGACACGAAAACATACTTTGTCTGAATAAACATACCTCGTTTTCAATGGAATGGGATTACTGACCCCCAAAATATCGAGGTTAGTCACAATCTTGCAAATAAGGTCCCCATAGCTTCGTCAAGAGAACGATCCAAAGTTTGGGTCTCTTAATGTTAATGTTACTTTTTGCGAATTTCGCCCTACCTCGAAAACTTTTAAAGCGAATTGAAATTTTTTTACACGCAGTGATTAAATTCGTTCATCTAAAGATAAATCCATACAAAATATAACTTTTAGTAAATATTTATTATTATTATTTTTATCATTTTATTTAATAATAGTCAAATATTTTTTTAAAATGTGATATAGCCAAATTCTTACATAGTTTTAAAGAATGTTATATAACAGGGGTGGCCAAGCTTCTTGATAGTCGAGCCATTTTTCAAATTTTCAAATTTTTCGCTAGCCGCAATTAAATACGTATTTTAAGGTATGCAAAATAGGTATTAATTTTTTTTACATAAATTATATTTACTGAAAACATGTAAGTAAAAGTACAAAATATGTGCATTGAATTAAAATATTAAAAATTAAACACATTTATTTTACTTCTCCTGATAATTCTTTAAAATTTGGTGAATACTTGGTGACAGCACTTCTCAGTAATTCTTTGAGATGCTCATTAGTTAATACTAATCGGTGTTTGGATTTCACGAATTTTAAAGTGGAACAAAATGATTCACATAAGTACGTTGTTCCGAATGTTGAAATAATTCGACAAGCAGCCTTTTTCAATTCATGATACTTCGATTCTGGTACAAATTTTCAAAATTCAGAAATCGACGTCGAATTATATTTTAACTGTAGAGCTTGATCTTCTTACATCTTTATTCATTCTAATTCTCCAGAAGCTTTTTGTGTCATAATTATATTGCAAATGGAAAACTCACCTTGAATTGAACAACTTACACTTAGTCTTTCATATTTGTTCTCAGTAATTTAAAAGACATTTTAAAACACATACGGAACGATAATAATTTTTTAAAANTATTTATTGAAAACATATAAGTAAAAGTACAAAATATGTGCATTGAATTTAAATATTAAAAATTAAACATATTTATTTTACTTCTCCTAAAATTCTTTAAAATTTGGTGAATAATTGGTGACAGCACTTCTCAGTAATTCTTTGAGATGCTCATAAGTTAATACTGATCGGTGTTTAGATTTCACGAATTTTAAAGTGGAACTAAATGATTCACATAAGTACGTTGTTCCGAATGTTGAAATAATTCGACAAGCAGCCTTTTTCAATTCATGATACTTCGATTCTGGTACAAATTTCCAAAATTCAGAAGTCGACGTCGAATTATATTTTAATTGTAGAGCTTGATCTTCTTGCATCTCCTTCATTCTAATTCTCCAGAAGCTTTTTGTGTCATAATTATATTGGAAATGGAAAACTCACATTGAATTGAACAACTTACACTTAGTCTTTCATATTTGTTCTCAGTAATTTAAAAGACATTTTGAAACGCATACGGAACGATAATAATTTTTTAAAATATAATAGCACAAAAATGAAAAGGGAACTCGGGTACATTTATCGCGAGTCACAAATAATCCTTCAAAGAACCGCATGTGGCTCGCGAGCCGCAGGTTGGCCACCCCTGTAATATAACAGAGATTTAAAAGTCGTAGAGTTTTAAAATAGTTCGATTTCCTGAGAAATCGAATTATTTTAAAAATGCGATTAATACAATTTTAACACGTCATTTTTTAATACGATTCTAAAAATGTGATTTCATTTTAGTGTCTGATTTTGTAACTTAAAGTATCGTTTGCACTAAATGATTAGATTATTTGAGGTCACCCCCTTGAAACTTTAAGATTGAGTCCTAGAATTTGAAGATCCGGTCATTTAGAGATCAAAAATAATTCAGGATGGTCCTTTTTGTAATTTGCGCAGTGTACATCGTGGCATCATCTGGTGGCTTCCTGTAATTTGCATGTTATTCTTAAAGATGAGTGTGATCATTCTGTCGGTAAAACTTTTACTTTAAAGTTCCATTTCTATGTGATTCTGAATAATCTTTAATGTATGAACATGAGTGTAAATGAGAAAGATCTGAATACATTTATAAAGGTATTGACTTAAAATACATTCGAATATAGAATTTGTTTAATGAAATTAATCATAAAATTATGGATGATAATAAAACTATAATCAATTTTTTTTCTTCGCATTCATTGATATCATGCTCGGAGTTTGATTGATTTGCTGGGAAGCTCTTTCATTCGAAGAGAGTCGTGCATTAAAACATGAACTTTACCACTAGAAGAAATTTTCTCTAAAAGCGTTTATAAAAGTTGGCAGCCCTTTAAACTAAGAATAAGTGATTTAGGTTGCATACAAGTACTAATTTCTTAAAATAAAATGACTTAAATAATGACTGTTAATCAAATATACGCGTAGCAGAGAGAATAGATTGACGAATTCGAACTAGACTTTGCAAAGCATTAATGAAATTTATTATTATTAAAATTATAGAATGCAGTTTATAGAGACTTGACAACTAAAATGTAAGTATCTTTATGACGCAACTAAAAACATGCATACATATTTTTAACGGTGAACTTTACTTTCTGCAGATGAAAAGTACTCTTGAAAACAGCCTCAAGCACTCGACAACTTGGAAATCAAAACGCGAAACCATTGGAGTTTTCGGGAGCGAAAATATTTAACGTAATGTTGTAAAAGCGAGTGATCTCAGTGTCAACTTTTTGCATTTCTTACGTCTTTTAAATTGTGTATGGCAGCTCGATTTGGTGTTCACTTGAAGAAAAAAGAGTGTTTCTTCACGTTACTTTTAGGATTGATCAACATCAAATCAGTTGAGAGATTTTATTTTATAACAGTCGTTGAACAGCCGATCCAATGTTTTTGGGTTTGCGACTATTAATGCCTAACTGCGCAACCTTGTCCAGAAAACAAGGAAACCCTTGGATCAAGTATTGGGAGAAATTTGCCTTCGTGGAGGACTTTTTCTGATATAACTAACCCGTATTTGCGCTACATGAAGAGGAAAACCACGAAACCCCCCGCGGTCAGCCTGACCGCAAGGGGACTCTTCCCCATGATCCGTCTACTGCTGAGGATATTTTATGTCAGCACTGTGGTCAGTGCGAGCCGGGTGCGGAATTTGAATTGACCAGTCATCGCTGGGATTCGAACCTGGTTCACCTCATTGGAAGGCGAACGCTCTATCCCCTGAGCCACCACGGCTTCTAGGAGAGATATCGTAGTTTTTATCGTGTTTTAATAGATTTTGAAATGGAGATATTTTCTATCACCCATTAACACTTACGAAAAACTACTCATTTTCTTGTTAGATAATACGAGAGACTGTAAAGAGTGACAACAGATATGTCTTCAAAACACACATTCTTATGTTTTTACATCTTGATAAAAAGTGTGTTTCAAAGTGTAAATAACCAAATTGATTTCTTACGTTTTCGAAGGGTATTTCGGGATTCCAGCCAACGTCTTCATCACTTCTGCTGTCTTGTCTGCACATCGCCTTCTTCAAACCCCTGAACGACTGACAAAACTGTGAAATATATTATGTATTTTAGTTCTTTTCATAATAAATTACTAAGCTTCAAAAGACAAAAATTATAAAATGGAAAAATAAGAGTTACGTAATAATAGCACTGGGGAATTTTTTTTTTGTTGCTTGAGATTTTTTTTTGTTTCTTGAGATTTTTAACAGATCTTAGATACCTTTGCATCGCTTATTATCTGCAATCTGTTTCTTTGTGAAAGCTACAGATTGCTTTAAAATGACATTCTTAGTTTTTGTTGTTGTTGAATGTACAAAACGTTATTAGTATTTAGACTTAGTTCTATCTCAGAGTTAGATATCAGGAGCTCTATATGCTATGTAACCACAGGTCATGTCATGTAAGGTTAAGTGACAATATGGAAATGAATAAGGGAAAACTAGATCCTATCATGTGATTTTACGGCCAATAAAAATGTATTGACAAAAATTAAAAACTGCGACACCATTATTAGATTTTTATATATAGTAAGGTTATTATTGATGATCTTAAAATCCCCTTTTTTAAAATATCCGGCTAAGTTGTTTAGGTCTACTATAAACATTCAGATTTAATATTGGTTAGTATAAAAGAACGTGATTTTTATTAAAAAATCTAGAACAATTTCTGTTTAACCATTTCTGTATTTTTATGGAAATTTTTTATTTATTTAAGTTTTAAAGAAATGGATTATTTTTATCTGTATTATATAGTAGTATGGTAGTTCAAATACTATATAGTACAATATTAACTTTCTGCAGTATGCTATGTTATCACACTCAAATAAATTTGAATTCAATTTAGATTTTATTAATTCGAAAATTTAAAAATGAACCAATTACTATAGTAATTACTGTAGTAAATTATCTATTATTTGTTGCTTTAAAAAGAGTTTTTGGTGATGAGGTTAGAATCTCGGTCTTTCCGAAAAAGCGTTTTATTTGTCTGTAAGGAAAAAACTAAATTGTTTTCTGAAACAACGTCAACAAATGACTCCCCTTTTGCTATGGAGTCGCATAAAGATAATCTTTCTACCTTAAAATACTAAGTGGCTGACATACCACACCGTTTTCGTTTTAAGGAATGCGCGAACTGTTGCGTTTTTGGAAAACATTTTTATAAAGTGGTAGAAGATAAAACATTAAAGCTTGAAGAATTATGATTCATTTTATAAAGTAAACTCTTTTAATAAACTCTTAAATAAACTCTTTTTTACTATTTTGAATATTATGGGCTTCGTTACTATTATGTTATGATTGTCATAATCTTTTTGAATTAAACTTATAAATTACTAAAATAAAAATTGAACATGGATGCTACGGTTTGAAATAATTAAGATGTGATGGACACAATTAGAGAAATTGAATTTATTTATCGATTGCTAGCAAATATCTGAATTCCTACAATTAAAGTATCGAGTCAATCCTCTTCCTATGAAGCATTTGTCATGGCTTTTTATTAATCTTTTGTTCAGGTCATAACAATCTTGCTATACATAATTTACATTTTGTTGCCACTAGAAAAAATTTCCGGTTGAAGCAGTAATGTTGGTATCTATAAAGATTCCTCCTGGTTTTAAACTGAATAACAAGCTAAATCATTTTTGTTTACTTCTAATCATTTGTATACATCTCAAATTATGTTCTAATTAACTTACGAAACAAACATCAGCTTTTTTATGAACGAGAAAAAACAGATCAAAATAATCGTAAATGAAAATAAATGTATTAAAATATCTTTTGAAAAAGCGTATCATTAGTGTTTTGTTAAAGAAAAAGTTATTTTTTAATTAAAAAAAAGCTTTTTCTTTCTTCATAATAATTATTAAGTTGCATTTTTCTTCGTCGTATTTAGAGAAAAGTTAGTGTAATTTTTAAAAATGCCTAAGATTTTTACTAAATAATAATTTCCCTCTTTGCTTCAAAGATAATTTATTCATCGGGTGCACGCAGAGAATAAAAAAGAATTTTTTTTTTGCATGCGTTAATTCAATTTTAATGAATAGCAGCCACACGCAGATTACATTAAATGAAATAAACTTTTTTTCTCAATTTATTTTGGTTATAATTTTTTTTAGTATTGTCAGAATTTATAAAACATGCTTACACTCTAATTAATCACACAAATAATAGAATTAATGAGCACACGTATTTATTTTAAATATCATGTCTAATATAACTTTTTTTACAAGCGTAGCGTTCGTTTTTTACTTAATTAAAATGTATTACATTGAATTTTGCTGGGTTTATTTTAAAGAAACAAGATAGTTCTATCAAAATATATTTAGAATAGAGATACTTTTTTTAAATTTGAATTTAAAGTATTATGCTATTTCATACTTGTCTGATACCTTTGCATAAGAATATAGATACCTTTGCTTAATAATATAATACCTTTATATAATACCTTTGCTTAAGAGAACTGATACTTGACAGGTTTAAGTCACTCGAAATAGAATGAAAACAACAATTGCGTGATCTTTCAAAACAGCCACATGGAACACGAAGTGATATTACTAATGAATAAAGACTATATAATTCAGCCATAAAATGTATTCCAGTTTACATTTTATTTTTACCCTTTTGGATTAATTTGTTGTTTGTAATTTGTCTCCCTCTTGATCGAGATTTACAACAATTGTGGTTCCAAGCAAACATTCTTCTTACTTCTCTCCATGCATTAGAAATATATGGAAAAATCTAACTGCCTTCTTCTTTTTTTGAAAATATTTCATACATCTTACAGTTTTAACTGTATCGTTTCTTTTATTATTCCTTTTATTATATGCATTTATATATGTATGTTTTAGTAACAAATAAGTTAAACTAACATAAATGAAATCAGTTGGTTAGACACGCAATAACACTGATTAAGCTTTTTTAAATTTTTAAGTACCACCATAATTTTAAAAGCATATAAATATCACGATCTTATATAAATCTTATATAAATATCACTATCTGATATGAATATCCCGATCCGATAGCAAGAATTCATAATTGTCAGAGAAATTCTTCCATTATAATACTCAATGCAATACTCAATCAATATACTCAATGCTTATCTTGAATTTCTAAAAAATTATTTAAATGCAAGAGGAATGATTAAAAATATTCCATAGCAAACAGGTATTCAAATTCATTTAACAGATAAAAAGTTACATTTTAACAGCTGGTGTAAATTATGCACCCAAAAAAAATTCAAAAATCCTTGAGAGCTTATGATGCATTTTTAGAACTTTCTCTAGAAAAGTGCTTCATTGAACTCATGGATTTTAGTATAAACGAGCGTGGGCATATTTTCTTCTTTAACATAGTGCGCGTGATAGCAGCTCTCTTTCTGGAGTTTTACTAGCCGTAAGCAAAGGGTTAAAAGAGAAACTTCTACCTTTGAGGGTGAGACTGAAGGATGGGTCTTTCGGATGAGGAATGTCTCCACTCCATGCGTCCTCAGGTAAGCATCTCTGCTCTCACCGTTTCCCGGATCCACCTCGTAAGCATCTCCAAGGTAATCCAGAGTGGCTTTGGATATATGCACCTTCCTGTCCATACAAGTAAAAAGTAACAGTAAAATACAAAAACTTTTTTAAATAGTAAGGTTATGATAAATTCCCAATAGACTGCAGCGCGGAAGGATATACTGGATGAAATAAAAATGCCATTGCTTCAAAAAATGATGAAGTGGGTAAAGTCGACATGCTCAAAGCCTAGATGTAGATAACAGAAGTGATTTGGAACAGAAAGTGAAAAGTGGCCAATAAAAACTGAAAGTGAAAAAAAAATCGAAAATCTTCATAGCCGTAAGTGAAACAGAAAAAAAAATCGAAAATCTTCATAGCCGTACGTGAAACAGAAAAGAAAAATAAAGCCAGCACTCAAAAAAGCCGCAGTGGCTGAGAGAGGAGAATCAGGGCAAAGTGAATTTCCATGCTCTATGGAGAGTGGGTGAGGAATTCTCGTTGTTAACAAGAGGATCGTATCTTAATTCCACATACCATCGGAAATTCTGTTATTTCAGAAAAAAATTTATGAGAGATTCCGAATGTAATATATCGATGTTCTAATAAATTAATAATCAAAAATTTTGTTCACCACTACACATGGAACAAACTGGCTTTTTATCTGAACTTTCGAATCATTCACTAGAAGTACTTAAGAAAATGACTTTAAATTAAATTTACTAGGCAAACAATCATATATTAAAAGGTAAAATTTGATACTACTTGAAGATATACTCCCAAAAATCGTGAAAAGTCGTCAGCTCTGGTGTTATGGCCATATGTTCTAATATAGGAATAAAACATGATGTTGATATATTTGGAAGTTATTGAAATTGCATCAACACTGAATTTTTTTAATACAGATGATTTGGAAATCAGTGTCTTACGACTCTTCGAAAGAGATATGCAGCGGGGGGGAAAATGACCTGATAGAGGTAAATTTTGATTGTCATGAGTTAGCCGAGAGCAATAGCATGAATGCAGTCAATCTCTATTCAGTCAGGATGAGGTATAAAAAATGCGTTTCGCTTAGTTTAATAACCTAAATCCACTGGAAAAGGCAACAAATATTTAAAAAAAAATAATTATATTTCTTTATTAATTGTGTCGGCCTTTCAGTTTTATGCATGATTTCATAGCGTTGTTCAGTACTGATTTATTGTTTTTTTCTTCTTTTTTTATTCACCACTCCGTACAAAAAATAGGTATTCAGCTAGTATAATATATCTATATATAAAAGACAAAAAAGAATAAAAGAAAAGAGATATTTAACGAAGAAAATTAAGAAAAGTGATAATATGTTTTATTTACTGTGCATAAGCTGCAAGAACATAGAAACCATAAAATAAATTAAAAACTAGGAGGCTTCGCCCCCTGCTCGCTGGCGCTCGCCAACCCCCGGCACTGTTTTCGCAGTTCATTTTGGATTGCTTCGCAATCCGATGATCGCTTTGCTCGCTCATTGGATACGTTCTTGACGTCTAGCTTTTGTATACTTTTTTGAACACTGAAGTTCCGAAAACTTTTCACTGTAGAAAATTCTAAACCTGTGCAGTTCAATATTAATTTGAAATTGCAAACAGTTCCCATATTTTTCTTTATCACACTATTTTAAATTTCAGTTGTTGAAAAAAGTAACTGTTGTAAGTTTTGTTTTAAAGTTTTTCCTACCAGAGGGCTGAAACCATGTGTTGTAAAACAATATGAAATAGTACTGAACGCCGGATGTAAAGGATCTGCTTCGATGAAGATAATTTTGTGAGAATTTTTTTGATAATTCGGTGAGAATTCACCAGATTAGACATATGATGCTCACTACGTACTCTTGCTTGCCGAAGCCTATCAATTAAAACGTATTAGCGTTTTATGTAATATAGATTAGCCACATGATGATCGCTACGTGCTCTTGAGCGCCGAATCCTTTCAATTAAAAATGAAAACTGTTGCCAACGCGAGAAAAGAAATATCATCGGTTTTATTGATACATACATATGTATTAGCGTTTTATATAATATAGATACGTAGAAGACATGGGAAAAAATATATAAGTTCCTTTTGAATACAAAGCCGATTTAAACTAAAAAGGTCAATCTCTTCCGTATTATCTCGTTTTCGTTTTATTAAAGCCTTATAGCACTTTTTTTGTTGCGAAAGTAGATAGATTTTGCGAAGTTCCTTATTCTAACTTTAACACAATTTGAGCTTCATAGCGCATGAGTGAAAATTTCTCTACAAATCACAGTGACGCTAAGTAGAAAATTATATTAGAGCTCTACGAATTCTTAGCAACATCTCTCTAATGTCTCAGAGAACAGAAGCAACTTTGACTTGCACGGGATTCAAAAATTTTCCTAGGTTTTTCCTACAGCCTGTTTTAGTTTATAGGATATCAGTTGACAGTTGAAATAGCATTTAATTTTTCAAGTTTTAGTAGAAAGTTTTGCACTTCATTTATTTGAAAAATTTATTTAGTTTACCCAGTATTTAGTTTATTTTTTTAGTTTAAAATGTTTTACGTTGATTTTTTTCATTGATCTAATAATTGAAATCAGGAATATTTTTCTTTTTTGCTTTACGGTTATAGAAATTTTCTTTCATTTAAAAGCAAATTAATAATATTCAAACTAATTACGCTTAAACTAATTAATTCCAGATATTTTATTTTAATAGTACAGTTAATTCATTACCATTACCTATAGTATTAGACACTATAGTATAATATCATCACCTATAGTACTAGACATTATAGTATAGAATCATCACCTTATAGTAAAAAATATGAGACATTGTTGCCTTTGAAATCTTACGTGGTCACAAAGAGCAAAATTTTTCAATGCAAATATTTTACACTCCGCAAATAAATTTTGGAATTTTTTTAGGATGCTGTAAATCAATACTGCCGTTTTTCTTACTAAGAAAAAAAGAATATAACGATTTAATTTATTTCATAAATAAGAACTTTCTTAAGTAAAGTTTTAGACTCCTGATTATTTACTTATGTGATTGCCGCTTCAGTATTTTATTATCAACGCAATCATTGCAATGCCACAGTAACAAACTTTTATATTAATTTTCGATTTCACAACTAAATAAGGAAACTTACCCGGCAATACCTCCGGATTCCATGTGATTGGCAAGCGTGACGTCATTGGACCAGACGTCGAATTGCCACTTGTAAAGACCTAGGACACCACACAGGACACTCCCAGAATGCACTCCGATCCTCATGTTTAGATCCACTTTCGTCTTTTCTCGAACCAACCTGCATAAGGAGATCTCCCTTAATCCTTTCTCTAATGCATCCTCTAATCTCCTCCCCCCCCACCGGCTCAAAGGGGGCCTCTTTTGGGTCTTAAGTGATTTGGACGATGAGTGAAAACATTAAAATGAATTTGACATCCGCCTTCACAAATTATATAATGCGTCACCACATTTTACTATTGTTCATCAAATTATTTCAATATAAATAGCACAGGAAAAAAACTGCAAATTATTTTATATGATAAAACTGACTCTCTGTATTATCAAGCTTTTGGATTCAACGCTGATTAAAGTGCTTCAATTTAATACCTTTTAAAGTTTACCCCAAAAGGGAAAATTTTGAATAGTGGCAGAGATAGAGTAAAGAAATATTTTTTCGTTGTTGATAATACCTAACTGTCAGGGTTGTGCATGTAAATTAATGGAAATATATCTTGTTATTAAAACTAGCCAATTCCTGAAACTAATATGTAAATAAAGCATTTAAAATTTTCAACAACCTCATTAAACATTTGTTACCACTTCTTAAGTGAACCCCGGTTCTTCAACCCCAGTCTTATGGGATATTATTATATTAATGCACAGGTGCAAAAAGTTTGGTCAAAGTTATTTGTTTATGCCTAGTGGATATTTCTTTTTGTTACGTTTGCTAAAAATAAAGTATTATTTTTAGATTTATTAATAATTACCAGAAAAGAAAATGCTTTTTTTTTTTAACCCCGACGGTATTGAGTTATTAATTGGAAATTCATATGGGCTACAATAGGAGATATTTAGTAGGGGGGAATCGTTGTTTAGCGATTTTCTATGACGTAAACTCCAATGTCCAAAATAACTGGATCTCGACCCTTATATAATAATATCGTGGATTTATGTAAGAAAACAAACCTAAAATATACTCAGCATAAGTGAAATGGAATGAATTTTTCACTTCAAGAAATCATACTTTAACGCCAATCCTAATAACCTAGAGCCAAACACGTTTCTCGTCTTCCAGACTACAATATTATCTTCAAACCTCGCATGAGTTGTCCCAGATGGCGCTCACCTCCATTTTGAACGACGTTTTTACTAGATTATGTCACTCATCATGATTCGAATAAATATACTTATCATTTATAGATCAGTGTACCAACATTTGAATGCGGACACTGATGAGTGCATCGAACAGTGAGATTTATTTATTCCGTAGATTGCTTGAAATGAAATAGGATGATTACACAGCACAAATAATACGCATGCAGCACAACTTGCAGGAAGTTTTGAATTCTTCCGCTTATCACTTGCAAACTGGAGCAGAATGGAAAATTTGAAGGATCATATTTACTCGCAGAGGAATAAGATTTCTTTTAATATATAATCTTTGATCTTATTATGGTGAGTTTGGTGTATGGCAGTTTACTTTTTGGGGATCTTTTGAAAAAAGCTTCAGTGAATTTATGAGACAAATATGTCTTTTTATAATATAAAAAGTGAAGTACTACTTATATTTTTGATGTGAATTTCCATTCTCATTCAGTATTACTCTAATAGATACATTTCTTAAAGCATTTAAGTTGCTAATTGACAAAGGATAAGTACAATAGGATCGATGATAAAATTATGCTTAATTTAAAGCAGATACGAATATTAGAGGGTATTTGGATCGACTCATAACCTCCTAAAACTATATGTCTCCACACGACATCCTAAAAGTAGTCAGGTCTGACCATTAAAAAGTATTCATCAAAATTAAGCTGGTCGCCTGAGGCCTAGGCCTAGTGCAATTTACCTGGACCTCGAAGCGAACCCTATCCTATTCATCGCGAATTTAAATTCAGTTAGTGTTGAGTCTTTAGGTCAGCAGGCAGTGAGGTTGCTGTATATAAACTTTGAGCACTTTGCTTGAATAACTAAAAATAAATGGAAATAATAAAAGCAACTTGCTCTTAACTAGGTTTGTTTCAAACATTTTAGTTGCAGTTGTATATGAGTAAAAAATGTGCCAACATGAGAAAACTCTTGAGTATTCATTTTTTAGGTAGATGGTAGGTGGTTGCTTCTGGTAAATGAAATACAAGGAAAAAAAGCATTCGAGTTTGCACATTTTATGATTTAAAGGAAAGCAAGCAAATAAAAAAAAGTGGTGGAAATTTCCTTCTTAATTTCTATTTCTATTCCTTCTTATTTTCTATTTCTATGAAAGAATTAAATTTATTTTTCGCACTTCTATATTAACCAGCATATATTATTATATCAGATATATAAATAAGGCAAAATCCCTCAGCGAATTGTTATTTTTGAAGTTGATTTAATGCGAAAACTGATTACCTTATAAAACAATCAGCTCAGAATGGTGTGGAAGGCCGTTTATTGAAGGAGGCGATGGATGACCCTCTAATGATAGACACCAGACTTTTTATATCTTATATAAAAAAGTAATAGATTATATAAAAAGTATCTGATTATATTTTAGATTTGATTCTTGATTTAAAAAATATTAAGGAAAACTGACTATGCACACCCTTACGCATAGTTAATTTAAAAAATATACAATAAATATTCATGTTGTCTCATGGGGAGGCTCATAAAATGTTTTCAAAATTAAACAAAATTCTGAAAACTTTAGTAAAATATTTCATAAAATATTTTCAGGTTGTGGAGCAGTTGATATTCTTGAGAATCTGCGAATTTACTGACCAGCATTTCATCTTTAAACGACTGTTTTGATTTGTCTGAAACAAATGTGATGATTCTTTAAGCTTGTTCCATTTCTGCTTCTAGCGGCTCTTCAAAGGGATGGTTCATATTTTACAAAGCGAAAAAATTGTTAGTCCAAGTTATTCATCATGAAGATTTATTTCGATAAATTCTGTCAACTATAATATTATTGATAACATAAATACTTAAATTTTAATCTGAAGTCTATCTTTTATTTTTAAATCTGAAGTGGAAGGTGTTGGAAAGATCATCCTATTTAGAAGACTTATCATGAATTTGGTTTATTGGATTCCATAATTCTTCCAATGTACCGATTCGAATATTTGCTCCTTAAAAGAATGGTTCAGTAAGCAGGGATGCCACAGGCGACTAAAAACGTAAGAAGTGTTGAAATCTCAAATCATTTTTATCTATTTAATTATTCAAATAAAGTTACCACCATGGCATACATTGCAAATTATTTATATTAAAAACGAGGACTTTTTTAAGAAATTTTCTTTCGATAGTAAACGGAAAGAGAAAAGCTAGCGTTTAATAGATTTTCTATTTTTAGCCATCCTTGGCATCCTTGACTAGAAAAGATGTCATATGAGAGTTGAATAACAGGGCAGGCAGAGACTTAATTTTACATTTTTGCCTGAGTAGCATCATTTCATGAGCAATATACATTTTTATAATGTTTAATTTTTATATATAGTGTTGGTAGGAATCATCCCAAATTAATTTTTTTTAAATCAAAGCAATGGAATAGAAAAGCGTAAACTTTACTATCACTCTCAATACAAGAGTTGAATATTCTAGAATATCTGGAGGAATTGAGAGCTATGAAATGGACACTTTTCTATAATCTATGACTCCATCTACGGGCGAATGTATTTACTAAACAAATACGTCCCTTTTCAGGTACGCAATTCCCAGTAATTTTGATAAATGCAGCAATACTATTATATCCACATTTCAAAACTTTCAAAGTGTTGTTTTTTTTAAATGGATTCTGAAGAACAACACTTTAAAATGGGTCACTGAGAACTTACTTGATGACGTGTATCATGTGGAGTCCCATCTCTACGCAACAGTGGGCGTGGTCAGATCTCGGTTCTGGAAGTCCACTCACACAGTAGTAGCAATCACCCAACAATTTGATGCGCAGACAGTGCTCTTCCTATACACAATATGATAATGAACACCAAAAAGTACACACAAGTGGTTACAACACATCAAAAATATTACGAAAGGTTTGACTTCTGCGCTATTTGAGTAAGAAATGCTTCCAAAGAATAGAACTACGAGCTCGCTGTCAGTTCAGGGTTACTTAAAATGGAGCCCTACGCAAAAGAAAAACACGTTTTCATTGTTGAACAATATAGAGCACTTAGTTATGTAACTTACCGTTTTGGTGATCAGAATTGCCCACCTAGATCAAGTGATTTATATACATAGGATCTTTTTCATTATTCTTTTTTTCAGGCAGATGGTTTAAGCCCACAAAACCCCCATGCCTTGAAAGAGGAAAATGAGAGATGCATACATGGAATTCAACCACATTTATGCAAAATGGCCATTGAAAATCTTGACAAAAAAGTACGTGTGTGCCAACTAAACCTAAGATACCACTTAACCGATATGTTATTCCATAACTTAACCGATACTCAGGTGTTACCCTGAATACATCTTCGTGCTGTCCTTCTCTGCATTGTGCTATCTGTCTTTCTATTTGACAAAGAATTAAACGCCTAAATTAAGCATACAAGCCTAAAAATGTATGTAATTCCAATAAACTAATGTACCAAAACTGTACATTATATGAATAAAAAAATCATCTTTGCTTATTAAAATCCTCAGCTATCAGTCCATATTACTTCTTCAGAAAATATTGGAAAACCCTACTACACTAGTGTTTAGGGACAATTAAATTCATTGCTTTCTTATGATTGCTCGTTTTCATATTTTGCTGTAATGAAAGAAGCGTATACTGCTGTGCAATTGAAAAAAAAAACAACGCAAGTGCTTCACGATTGATTCCGAGAAAAGTGGCTTGACAACTTTTCTCCTTTTATTGCTAATGTTATGCATGCTAAAATAAAATTTCAAAAAGCAAATTTATTTCTTAATATTATTTGCAATATGTAGCTTACCATATAAAGATGCCAAATACATAAAAATATCAATTTTGAAATTTTTGTCGTTTACGTTGATTTTTCAATTGCACGGCTGTATAGAGGTTTTCTTACTTCATGCAAGATTTTTTTTTCTATTGAAAATAAACTTTCAAATCTGCAAAATTTTGTGCTTCTTTAATAAGTGATTTTTACTCCTTTTCGGTTGCTCTAAAATCCTATCATAAGTAGAAACTACATTAAGTTTGCTAACATTTATCTAAAGAGCATACCGACAAAATAGTTTCAAATCAACTTCATTTTACAGATAATCAATACTAAGCTATACATTTTGTTTTTACCAATTTCAACATAAAAATTAATGTCAGGTATTTCTAGAGCTCTTACATTCTCCGGTAATGGAGTTCTTTAGAAAAAATAATTGATTTCCGATAAATCTAGCGTTACGGAGGATTGGTTAATCAATCATCAATCTATCTAAAATATTGACATCCACTGTCTGTCATACCATTTGAGCAGAAAAATATTCAGAAGAGTCTGTAATCACGGCTAAAAACTCACTTGTACGTGACAATTTCTCTCAGACCAGATCCTCTCGCCACTGTCTACTGCTCCAATCACTTAATTTTATGACTGTTGGTAGACGATATTTTAAGCATTTGTTTCAAGTATGATTGTGAAGAGACGTTTTAAAATAATATTGTAAATAAATATAGTTTAGTTCATTTTTGTTTTACAACCATAAATACCTGTAAAATGTATTAGAAAGAGCATGTTCTTAAAATTATTCCCATACTTATATTAAATAAACCTGAATAAGTAACATGATAATTAAGCTGTGATGCTCTTAATTTCCGTAGAAACCAAACGGATTTCAGCAAAATTAGATCCCTGANATGTAGAGCACTTTGTTATGTAACTTACAGTTTTGGTGATCAGAATTGCCCACCTAGATCAAGTGATTTATATACATAGGATCTTTTTCATTATTCTTTTCTTCAGGTGGATGGCTTAAGCCCACAAAACCCCCATGCCTTGAAAGAGGAAAATGAGAGATGCATACATGTAATTCAGCCACATTTATGAATAATGGCCATTGAAAATCTCGACAAAAAAATACGTGTGTGCCAACAAAACCTAAGATACCACTTAACCGATATGTTATTCCATAACTTAACCGATACTCAAACTATACTATACATTATAAGGACCACCCTGGCCGAGCGGTATCACTTATCAAACGCAGTGCAAAGAGTGGAGGTAGCAGGTTCGAATCCAGCTGTTACCCTGAATATATCTTCGTGCTGTCCTTCTCCGCATTTTGCTATCTGTCTTTCTATTTGACAAAGAGTTATACGCCTAAATTAAGCACACAAGCCTGAAAATGTATGTAATTCCAATCAACTAATGTACCAAAACTGTGCATTATATGGATAAAAAAAATCATCTTTGTTTATTAAAATCCTCAGCTATCAATCCATATTACTTCTTCAGAAATTGTTGGAAAACCCTACAACATTAGTGCTCAGGGACAATTAAATTCATTGTTTTCTTATGATTGTTCATTTTCATATTTTGCTGTAATGAAAGAAGCGTATACTGCTGTGCAATTGAAAAAAACAACGTAAGTGCTTCACGATTGATTCCGAGAAAAGTGGCTTGACAACTTTTCTCCTTTTATTGCTAATGTTATGCATGCTAAGATAAAATTTAAAAAAAAAAAAATTTATTTCTTAATTTTTTTGCAATATGTAGCTTACCATATAAAGATACCAAATACATAAAAATCTAAATTTTGAATTTTTTGTCGTTTACGTTGATTTTTCAATTGCACGGCTGTATAGAGGTTTACTTACTTCATGCAAGATTTCTTTTCTACTGAAGCTAAACTTTCAAATCTGCAAAATTTTGCGCTTCTTTAATAAGTGATTTTTACTCCTTTTTAGTTGTTCTAAAATCCTATCATAAGTAGAAACTACATTAAGTTTGCTAACATTTATAATTGCATTGGGACGAAACTTACTATTTCACTTAATATTACTTAAATTATTACTCTAAAGAGCATACCGACAAAATAGTTTCAAATCAACTTCATTTTTCAGATTATCAATACTAAACTATAAATTTTTTTTACGAATTTCAACATAAAAATTAATGTCAGGTATTTCTAGAACTCTTACATCCTCCGGTAATGGAGTTCTTTAGAAAAAATAATTGATTTCCGATAAATCTAGCTTTACGGAGGATTGGTTAATCAATCATCAATCGATCTAAAATATTGACATCTACTGTCTGTCATACCATTTGAGCAGAAACATATTCGCAAGAGTCTGTAATCACGGCTAAAAACTCACTTGTACGTGACAATTTCTCTCAGATCAGATCCTCCCGCTACTGTCCACTACTCCACTTAATTTTTATGACTGTTGGTAGACGATATTTTAAGCATTTATTGCAAATATGATTGCGAAGAGAAGTTTTAAAATAATATTGTAAATAACTATATGTTAGTTTATTTTTGTTTTACAACCATAAATACCTGTAAATTTTTTTAGAAAAAGCATGTTCTTAAAATCAGTCCCATACTTACATTAAATAAACCTGAATAAATTACATGATAATTAAGCTGTGATGCTCTTAATTTCCGTAGTAACCAAACGAATTTCAGCAAAATTAGATCCCTGAGGCCGAAATTTTATGACTCAGCTTTAGTGATAAACCTCCTGATTCTTTTACTGTTTCTCGAATTGCCGATTCACTTCGAAGCAAATACACGAACAAATGAATTAAATGTACGAAATTGGAGATTCCATTTGAGTAAACCAAAAAAGTTTTAGTAAATAAGTCACTTACTTGTGCGAGTCTGTCAAATCGAGCAAAAAGATCGTTGAGCACCTGCACCAATTCTTGCGCTGAGCACCTGGATGCCAAGGCCGTGAAACCTTGAATATCAGCAAACAGTATGCTGAAAAATAACGTTGCGAATTAAAATCTGACTGAATTATACTGAAATGAATATTTCTTCGACACAATTTGAAGTTATTGATCATAACGTTTTAACTAGTGGACGTAAAAGTGATCAAAAAGTGGAATTAAAAATAAGGCAAGATAGGTTTCAAAAAACATTTCCTTTGCTGCGTTTCCTTATGATTTTGAAGACTCCGTCGTCATATGAAATGATGCTTCTTTGTGAATAACACGCTGTCTTTGTAACTGCTGTGAGTTTGAAACTGTGACTCATATGTCGTGTTATTCTCATGTTAGGTCAAGTTTAGTCTATCTGAGCCCAGCGCTGCCTACGATTATTGTGAAAATGGCGCAAAGCGTCAATATGAAGAAAAGCCACAGTGTGACAATGAAAAGCGTTTGTGGTCTAATTTTTTAACATTTAAAAGTTTGCTCAAATGCTGCTTTATCTGTGCTCATAAAAATGTTCAAAAACTGAGAATAAGGCAGTGATTTTGATAATTTTCATCTGGGTGGAAAAATGTCGCCAAATTGGTGATTTTTAAAACGTTTAATAGCTTTTAAATAATTTAAGTTTGCTTAGTTGTTAAATTTAATAACTTTTAAAATATATTAAATCTGTTCTAAAGCCCAGATAGTTCTTAACGGGAAGATTATATTTATAGTCAAGTATATGCAAAGTATATGTCTTGCATATACAAAGTTTATCTAATGATAAACCTTCTTTTTAAAATACTTTGTTAAATATAAAAAAATCTTAAATAGTACCTGACGTGATCGTAGCAGTGTATGTAAATTCTGTGGAATTGTTGAGCAGACAATATTTTCCTATTGTTAGTTTGATACTCGTCGTCTTCATCAGACGCCATATCCCTAATCATTTCTAGCACCACAAATCTTGGAAGGACGCTCAACAATAATCTTTCCTGCAAAGAAATAACACTGACTGTACTTAATTTTTAATGAATCATTTCTAACATTTCGAATACAAGCTTTGAAATAACTGTTTCTGCAATCAGCCCGTGATCATTTATTAAACTTCAACTAATGGCTACACTTTTATTTTATTGAATATCTGGCATTTAACAACCGACCTATTTTTCGATGAACGTCTATCGATGTTCAAACACGGACATTTGTAATTTTGAACCCTATCCAGATGATGAGGTATCAGCCATAGGGTCAAACTAATCACAGCGGAGAACTTTTGGATGGAACTAACCCGCATTTGTTTTCAATGGAGAGGAAAATCACGAATATTTCCCTTCGTTAGCCCGAAGCCTAGGTGATTTTTATCCATGATCCGTCTACCACTGAGGATATTTTACAGCAGCACTATGGTTGGTCCGAGCAGAGAGTGGCCATCCATCTTTGGGATTCGAACTTGGGCCACCTCATCGGGAGGCGAGAGCGTTTTCCTCTGAAACACTGTGGCTCAATGGCTATATGTATGACAGGATTTGTTCAGCTATAACAACTTAAATGTTACAGTGTTTAATGAATGAGTCTTTTAGTGAATGATTTTTGATTTAATGAATTTTATTTATAGGGTTTTTGCTCACCACTACTTCTAAATAATTCAAAGGCTTATACAATATCTCACTTCGTTACTGTTCTGTTAAGTTAAGCCTTTTAAAAAGTTGGCAAAATTAACCGAAATCCTTTAAATTTTAGTTTGCAGCCCTCAACCGCTTTTCAAATTTTTTTTTGACGAAACTGGAGCAGTTGGCAATTCTGAATTGGAAAGCAAAGGAGGAGCTGTGGCAATGTTTGTTGAACAATGCAATGTTTGTGGCAATGTTTGTTGTCTATCTGACACCTTGCATTTAGATAATTAATTATACGATGGTCCGCTTATCTCTTATCAGCTGAATCTCCCGATCTGTTCTGCTTCTTTTCTTAAGATAACTTTTTAAATGGTTTCGCTTATGAGATGTTCATCGAATCACCAGAAAATAGTGTCGACCGAATTGTGTCACTGCTAGTGATATGATGGCTGCTAGTGTAATCTTCCAGTGACTGAGTGATTCATTTCGTCGCCTGATCATAGCGGTGAAACTGAAATGAAAACTGTACCGAAGGTCGCTTCTTAGAGCATTTATTATAAAGTGTCCAATATAGATTATTTTTCTTGCAAATTATTTGCGTTGTATTTTTTTCGGAGATCGGTTTCTGTAGTAACTGTGGTTTCTTTGACTTATTGAAGAATCTTCAAAATAAAACTTAGCAACTTTTATTACAAGGTAGGAAAACATGGCATAAACAAGCCATCTCAGACTGTACAACCTTGCTCGTTGTCGGTTAGAACAAAAATGGACTCCTTTTAGGAAAAAGGTAATTCCCAAAATGAATGCGATGGCAGAGCCAACTCTGAATAAATTCAAATAACAGGGAAAAAAATTGATCAATTCTGATATTACAGTTTCCCAAATCATGATACAAAAATAATTGAAAGAAAATTGCCAGTTTTATTAATTGTTTTTCAGAATTTTAATAATTGTGAATTGAAATTTCACAATTTTCGTTTTTTTTATTATGCCTCAAAAGTAAGAAAACAATGAGAGGGGATATTAAAATTAAGATTGTGGAGTCAAAGCAAAAATAAATTTTATAAGAGTCGAAAAAATTTACTCGACTCCGACGGGTTAAAATGTAAATCCTGTAGCTCAAAAGAAAAAGTTTTCATCTCATGAAAGTTATTTAGATAAATATTTTTAATTATGTAAATAAAAAAACATTACTCTAATGAATATTATAAACATTATGAAAAATATTTAGATTATAACTGGTTAGAAATTTAGTTAACCACAATTGGAGATTTTTGAGCCTATGTTAGACTAAACTACTGAAAAATAACGCAGTAATTTATTGAAATCATCGAAAATCAGTTTTAACAAATGAATGATGAATCCGTTGTTTTTCAAATTATAAATTCTTAAACTAAATTTATTCAAAATATACAAATGAACTTAATGTAGCATTCGCATTAGTTTCCAAGTTTAGGAACATTTATTCCACAATTTCTTTGTCACACAGGCTTATAAATGATGTATGTATACCTGTATGGATACCTAGCCTCTTTTTATAATAGTTTTTGCACCCTATTAATAAATTTTTACCGAGATATTTAAAAAAAAAAAAAAAAACTAGAAGATTCCCCCCCTGTACACTTCGCTCACCAACCCCTGTGGTTACTTCTAATTCATTATTGAAGATCAGGGAGAAAAAAACGGTGTATGTCCATTCCCATAAAAAGAAAAAATGCGATTGTAGAGCCATCTATTGCATTTTGAGGACGACTAAGTTTTGTCAAATCAATAACATGGAAGATCTGTTCCCCCTGAGAGTTACAACACAGGGGACATGTTGTGGAAAAACAGTACCTATCCCAGTGGAATTTTTTTCTTCTTAGAATCAGCTTTCATGAATATAAACTGTTCTTTCCCCCCTCTTGATCTTCTTAAAAGTGTTTTTCTTAGTAGTCTATATTCTACAAAAAAAGAGAGATCATTTTGCCAATAAAAATATATCGAGAAAAGTAGTCCTCATGTGGACATGGGTTAGAGAAGACATCTTGAATAACTTTTTTATTTATCAAATTTCTTCTATGAGATTTCATAGATTAGCAACATGGATGTATTCTTCCATGTGCAGTTTCACGATCACATCGTGCAGAAATTTAAAAAAGAAGATTTTTAAGGTACAAAAGTAATTCTTAAATTTTCTCTTTTTCTTATATATTTTATCTTCAAAATTTCAAAAAAAAGAAGGTGATACTGTGTTATAAATTGCACTGTTTTTCAGCTATTTTGATATTAACTTTAGCTCTACATAGTTTCATTACGCATGAACAAACGTATGTGTCCCCGGGAATGACATGGACACATGGTGGAGGGTCTAATCAGGACATATTCACTCTGACCCTATTTAACTTCGAATGAAAGACATATGAATTGGTTATATACTTTTGATATTATTTATTTTCTAAATTGGAAGGATTCTCTCGAAGGATACAACTTTACAAAAATGTTTAACCTTTGCAATAGTTTTTGTCCAAAGTAAAACATTTAACATGAAACTTTTGCATCAAACCACTCTACAAAAGTTTTATTAAGAAAATTAAAAGGAGATGTTTTATCAAATTTGTTAACATAATATAATTAAATGTAGATGAAATGAAATAGAAAACAAGGTTTTTATTATATATATATTTTTTGTCATTCATGAAATTGAAATAGAACATCTACTCTTCTGTTTCTCGAGTTGTTAACAGGGACATATTGCTCATCCGTGTATGCTGCTCATTCGAGTCATTTCATCATCAAGTTCAAATTAATTTAGCTTAAAATTTGTCCTGTACTTGTCAATATAGTAAAAAAATGGTATCTAAAGCGTATCTCAATTAAGAAACACTAAGAAATGGAAAACAAGAAACTCATTTCAGAAAAAGAAAAAAGTTTAAAAAAAAAATTCTTTCTTTAAGAGAGCCCAAAACCTTAGCAACAGAAAAACCCATATTTACCAACCCTAATTTAGAAATGAAGTGTAAGCATCTATATTATATAAAACGCTAATACGTACGTATGTATCCTATAGGTCCTAATGTCA